AACCATTATTTTCTATTTCTCCCTTTCTTTTTATGGTCTCTCCTTCTTTTCTTGTTCTGCTGTTTTGGTTTTCTAATCTTCCTTTTTTTTTTCTTTTCTTCTCTGACTCAATAAATATTTTTAATTGACTACTTGGCCCTTACTTCATGCTCAATGGGGCCCTTCTTATTTGATCATTTTTCAGTCATGTCCAACTCTTTGTGACCTCGGTTGTGGTTTTCTTGGCAGATACTGGAATGCTTTGCCATTTCCTGGTCCTGCTCATTTGACAGATGAGGAAACTGATGCAAACAGGGCTAAGTGACTTTCCCAGGGCTGCACAGCTGCTGAGTGTCTGAGGCCAAATTTGATTTTCCATGGGGTACAGAACAAAGCTAAAAGGACAGCCTCTAGATTCATGGCAAGAGTATACAATCATCATTGTTTGATGGAGCCATCACCAACATAGGAAAGAAAGATCTAGGATCAGTAGTCCCTATCGAACTAAATGAGTTATTAAAAAACACTATTGATAGATTCAGAACACTTCTCAAGACCGTCCTTCTCTACCACCATCAGCCTATGGGCTGATATATAGATGTGTGTGCGTAACCAGACTCCAGTGCTCTAGATGATGATGACGATGATGGTAATGGTGTTCTGCCCAAAGGAGGGTAAATTTTGGTGGCTGAAACCTACCTAGTTAACCTGGGGTTTCCTGGCTAGATTTCTTTCTTAAAGACCAATAAGCCTTAAACCTAATTCACTCTGTATCTCATTGACTGGACAACAATAGGCCCCTGCCCTGCCCTGCCCAAGCACTACTTATGGTTATTTTTTGGGCCTTCCTTGCTCAGAAAGAATGTAAATAGTAACTGTTTCTCTTTTGGCCAGCAACCCTGGGGGTCTTCCCCTCCCAATTTGATTTTTTTTTTTAATTAAAGGGGCCATCCCTTGACTCACTTCTTAAAAAGGCCTATTCACTGAATGGTCTTTGCCTTACTCAAAGGGAAACTTGAAAAACCTTAGCTTAAAAGGGCCAAAGTCTCCCACTGCATCCTGGGCCATGTCCAGTCAACCCGATCTATATCTGGCCACTGCACCCAGATGGCTCTGGAGGAGAAAGCCAAGCTGATGGCTTTGCACAACCCTCCTCACTCAAATCCAATTCATTTGCAAGTCATGTTATCATCCCTCTGATGTCATGGTCCTCTTCAAGAACGAAGGACAAACCACACAACCAGTGCTATAAAGGGAAAACAGATTGGCAATTTTAGCCCCCTTCTTCACTTCCTATCCCTAAATACTGTAACAAAACCTAAATAATATTTACAAGGCTGAAAAGAGCTAAATGTGTTCAAAGGCAACCTCAGAAATAAAAAAAGGAACAGAAATACCTGAGGTGAGTCTTAAAGTAAAATAAGAGTTCTAAGAGGAAGAAATGAAGAAGAAGAACATTCCAGGCCCAGAAATAGTCAGTGCCCGGGCAAAGATGTAGGAGGCACAGAAACATGATATAGACCACTTTGGCCAAATTTTAGAGGGTGTGAGGGTGAAATACCATGGAGTCAGTCTACACTTAACCTTTATTTGTATAGTGGACCCCTTTGACAATACAATGTAATCTATATACCCCTTCTCAAAATATTTTTAAATTCATAAAATACAAAGGATTGGATTACAAATGAAATTGATTATGTTGAAATATAATTATCAAAATATTAAAACATGCAATTCACTTGCCCCCTGAAATCTATTCATAGACTATTTAGGAGACAATTAACCCCAGCTTAAAAACCCCTGCTTTAGAAAAATGGATGTAGGAATATTGTAAAAGGTTTTTAATTCCACCTCAACCTCACCTGGTATTTTTGTTTCATGTGTTTGCTCTGAGACTTATTTTAATATATTACATTAATATAGCTATATAGTCTTACTATTTTCATCTAAAAATCACTTTTATTTAAACATGAAGTTTAAGGTAACTATATTCCAGGAATGTATTTATTACATATATCTGTTTACTATATTTTATGTACATATTATCTGTATATATAATATATACATATCATCTATATATAATGTACACATATTATCTATGTGTATATAATATATACATACCATCTTATGTATAAAGTATATATGTTATCTGTGTGTATATAATATATACATATTATCGGTGTATCTATAATGTATACATATTATCTGTATATCTATAATGTATACATATTATATTTGTACTTATTATATGTATATATAATATACATACATTGTGCACGTGTATCTATTATATACTATAGGCAATTTTTTTGTGATAGGAGTATATATTCCATTTTATGGCAAAAATCATTAGGAAACTGGAATTCAACATACAAAGATCCACACTGCTAACAATCATGCCGGGACACATCAGATTTGTAACCTGAAGGATTCCACCAGCAAAAGCTACAAGAGCTGCCCCAGTGATTACTAGTACCGCAACTGGTCAGCAAAGGAATAATTATCACCCCAAAAGGTGGCAGTCACACTTCTCCTATTCATACTTTCTTCTTTTGTGGGCATGTAAGCAAGATAACAAGCTGTCTAATCAGAGGGGAAAAAAGCAATGCCCATACACGTTTGGTCATGTGCAGAAAGCTTCCATAACAGTAGTCCTCCAAGGTCATGTCCAAACATATCCATCCTTCCACTTTCTTATTACTGACTGGCAGTAATTCTGAACATTGGTAGAGACGAGCATCCCTTCAGAGCTCTGCCGCCAGCTTCAGATTTCCAGCAGCAGGTCTTGATGAAAATTCAGAGTAGAGTTCTTCTGCTCTGGGTTATGACATTATTCTAAGTAAATAATTGGGGTTCCTTGAAGGATCTTTTTCTGCCAGCACATGAAGAGACACACCTGCCAATTCCCCTCTGTGTCCCCAAAGCTAAATCTCAGCTTCATTAATAACTCCAGCAAGACTTTGCTAATTCTTTGCATCCTGCTTCTCATCTGGGATCACATTCATTTGAATATCCTAGCTGGTATCCTTACCAAAATTAAATAGTGCCTAATTTGGGACCTCATTTGTGCTTGCTATTGTTTATTCTTTGATAAGAAAACTCTCCACCCTGCAGACAGATTTAGAATCATTCAGTTTGGGCAAAGCACTTTCTTCTGCTGTAGTTCAACCTTTTCATTTCTACTGATTGTATATGTGTATGAATGTATATGTATGTATCTCTGTAAACACATGCATGTGCATATGTGTGCATATCACACACACATATATAAAACTGCCTGCATGCACACATGTCCATGTGTTTTGTGTATACATGAGTATACATATGTGTATGCATGTGTATATACAGATACATATATAAAATTAATAGAAATACATATATGTATATGTGTGTATGGATGTGTGCATGTGTATAATTCGGTCCAGACTTGTGACTTTATCAGTGTGGTAGGGAACTTCCATTCCATCACAGAAATTCTCTCCACGTTGAGAGGTTTATTGATACAATGGAAAGAATGGAGTTAGAGGTTCTGGATTCAAATTCTAGCCCTGCCAGGATTATCACAATTTTGTGTGATTGTTATAGTCAGATTATTGTTGAAACAGCTCCATTGTTACCTCTGTATGAGTTTGTAAGTCATTTAATCTCTCTGGGCCTCAGTTACTCATCTGTAAATTAATATCCTGGGTTAAGTGAGCTATAAGCTGTTTTCAGACCCAAATTATTATCCTGTTATACACTACAGATGAACGAGTCAGGTGTAACTTTAGTTTTAGGGGCAATAAGAGGTTAAGTGACTCAACCATGGTCATGCTGCTAATATATATGAGAAGTTAGACTTGAATTGTGATCTTCTTGTCTCCAAGCCTGGCTTTCTATTCACTATGCTTTGATGCTTCTCTTGGCTACGTTTTAAAGAGCTACGTGACACTGTTTCCATGCCTAGAGATGTGTCGACTCCATGGTGTTGTCCAGTCATTTCAGTCATGTCTGGCTCTTTGTGACCTGATTTGAGGTTTTCTTGGCAAAGATAATGGAGTGGTTTGCCATTTCCTTCTCTCGTTCATTTTACAGGTGAGGAAACTGAGGAAAACAAGGTTAAGTGACTTGCCCAGGGTCACACAGCTAGTAAGTGTCTGAGGCCAGATTTGAACTCAGGAAGATGAGTCTTCCTGACTCTAGGCCCAGTACTCTACTGCGCCACCTAGCTGCTACTAAGGGATGTGAGTTATACATATACATATATATGTATGTATGCATGCATGTGTGCATACACATAAGTGTATATGTATTGTGTATGAATATACCTGTATAGACATACATATGTGCATATATACACATTCATGCATATGTGTCCATATGATATTCATGTATAATATGTGCGTATACATTATTTATATATGCATGCATAACACAATTATCAGGAAAACAGCTCCCTTTGCCTGTCTCAATATTTTGGTTTCATGGAGGAATTGCAACCTTGAACAGCATGATTCAATTTAGTGTAGCCATATAGTATTGCCTTTTTTACATTCAGTGATGACTTTGGTTGGTGCTTCTAACCATATGCCAGGCTGGCTGAATATCTGTGTATATTTTTCATCAGTTTGTAGGGGGAGTGGTTATCTATTTAAGGACTTTCTTTCTGCTAGTCTTCCCCCTCTGCTGCCTTATGGACACCCTGAAAATCTTCCTGCTTTCACTTCAAGAGGGACTCCTATCATTTCACCCAAGGCTAGCTGTTCCACTTTTATTACTGTCTCTGAAGCTATAGCTCTCCAGCATTGCTTTAATTGGTATGTCAGACAGTGCTAAGTCAGCTTGGTGTTTTTTCTACATCACTTCTTTACATCAGCTGCTGCTTCTACTTTTCCTTTCTAGTACCATCCTTAGAGTTTCCATGTGAGCTTCCAGAAATCCATTGCTAGTGAGTTTATTGGCCTATTAATGTTGAATAGACTTTTGGAAGGTTAGGCATACCTTTAATGTTTACAATGGGTCAGACATTATGTTAAGCACTGAGGATACAGAGACAGACAAAAACAGGACTTGCTGTTAAGGAGCTTACATTTTAATAGACTTTGGACATTAACTTTGGACACTATTTTTCATAGAAGCACATTGGAGTCAGGATAAGTGAAATCCTTCTTTCCATACTCCCATTTCTATAAGCCTTTATTTTGGCTTGAAGATGCTGGTTTTGGGGGTCTAGCCTTTCTTGTAACAGACTTTCTCACCTCTAGACACAACGTCTCATTGTACCCATTTCCTTTCCGTTCTTGTTGCTTCTCTGCAACACCCTCAAATTTGAACTTTTCCAAGTTCACAAACTTCCAGCTTCTTGGTTGATTGGTGCTCTTATGACTGTAATGCCAGAAGTAGGGCACCACAAGATGTGCCTGCTTTAGACTCTTCCTCACCATATAAAACTCCTGACCTTCTTTCTCATTCCCAGGGTGCCCTATAACATGAAATGGAAGTCAGGCTTCACTGCATTAAACTTGGAAACATGACTGGTATAACCTAGAAACCAGAATGGGGGATACTTGTTTCTCTTCTTATTTTTACCATAGGCTGGAGATTCTATCACCCAAAGCCCAAAGGTGAATGCAACCTGCCCCTCAAGGCATCCTTTACTATCCATAGCTTGTTATAGTGACTAGTAAGCTAGAAGTAAAGCCAAAAAGACCTGGGTCTGTCCCACCTCTAACTTACTGACTTTACAACCTTAGGCAAGTAATCTAACCTCCCAGAATTGTAAGCAACTGTCGGTTGCAGAGAAGATGTCTACCTGAGGTAGAGGGACTTTCCTCACTTAGAGGTTCCTTATATCATTGCAATCATAGATTCATTACTTATCCCTGTCCTATCTTTGATGACTATGATCTAGAAGTATCCTTGCTACCCCCACACACACATACATAGACTTCATAATCCTAAGAAGCCATTCATTGAAACATGATAAATGAATGCTTCTTGCATTTATTATTATTGGCCTATCTCTTCTTTGGGTGCCTCTGAGCCCTCCCCATCAGAAGCAGTTACTACAAAGTGTGGCAATGCTTCATTGCCTCTCCTGGCAATGGTAGGTACAATGATTGCAATGGTGGTTTTCTCAATTTGGTCACTTTGCATGCATTTGAAAAATATTTAGTCATTCCTACTAGAAATCAGACTAGTATGATGGGAAGGACTTTGAAATGGGAGACATGAGACTCAGATTCTATTCCTTGTCTTGCCACTAACCAGCTGTGTGACCTTGGGTAATCCACTTACCCTCTATGTAGCTGTTTTTTTCTCATCTATAAAATATAACAGGATTAGAACAAATCTTATCCAAGGACCCTTCTAGTTGTAATGTTCTTTGACCACTTAGAAGGATAAGTCACAAGTCCTCTTCTTCAGGAGATCACAATCTAGCAGGGGAGATGAAGTGTGTATATAAATAATAAAAACGTGAGGCAGCACATTTCATAAGAGAAATATAACAAGTGATCGGGTACATTAGGAAAAGGATGGGTGATAGTGACTGGACTTGTTATGAAGGAAATTCTCTTTTTTCTGATGTAGATTGGCCCCTTTTCTACAATGTATAGTCTTGAACAATTTTCTAGAGGCCTGAAAAGTCGTGACTTGCTCAGGGTCATATAGCCAGTAAATATCAGAGGCAGAACAAAGTCATTTCGTCCCCCTAAGCATGAGTTTACTCACTTGTAAAATAAAGGGATTGAACTAAATGGCCTTACATTCCCTCTTAGCTCTAAGTTGTAGTTTATGTCTGCCATTGGTTAACCAAATCAAAGATTATACAGCCAGTTAAGTTCTAATTCTTCTATGTATTTTTTTCTGCTTGGTCCCTACTACCTTAGAGGACCATGGGAACTCATCCCAAGTGTTTAGATTAGAGGAAAGAGTATTAAATTTCAAATGAGGGGAGATGTGAATTCAAATCCCACCTTTGACTCTAGCTATAGGCAAATAAATGAGCCATGGCAGAGTGCCCCTATAGCCACTTGACTAGAGATAAGTAAATGAGCCATGGTAGTGACTCCATATAGACACTTGACTATAGGCAAATAAATTATCCATGGCACTCTCCTTATATCAAGATAAAGGATGAACATAGCTTGACAGTATTTTGGCCAAATTATCATAGAATTCCTAGAGGAAAAGGCAAGTTGATTATCAGGGCTCCCAAAAGATCTGTATTGAGACAATGTGGGATAGTACAGAGATGCTGGATTTGAGTACAGAAAACTTGGGTTCAAATCAAGCTTATGTGACCTTAGACAAATCATTTAACCTCAATTTCTTCTCCTAAAATATGAGAGGGTTGAGCCAGATGACCTCTTAAGTTCCTTTCTAGCCCTACATGTATGATCATATGATCTTTGAGGTTCAGTGTGGAGGTGATACGCAGGACCACTGACAAGTAGTCATCTGATCAAGGCAAATTACCTAACACAGTTTTTCTTATCATCTGAGGCCCACTTTGGTGAATACTCAATATTTATTAAGCACCTACTATGTGCTAAACATTGAGCCTACTCAATCTGTTTGAGGCCTCCCAAGATCCTAGGATCTGTTTCTTTTTGAGTTCCCATTTCTCCCCCTGAGCGCAGTGCCACTATCTCTATTTCTTCCTTAAATCCCACGCTACCCCTATCTCTTTCCATTTTTATTTTCACAGGCTTTTTAATTATTATTTTGGGGAAGGATTATTAGGATTCTAGTTTAGATCTTCTTTTAGTTACATTCCTTTCTCTCCAGTGAAGCATTCATCTCCAAACACCTTTCCCAATGTTCAGGGAACAAGGTTTTACTGGAGAGATAATGCCAGTGCCAAGTCCTCTGGAGTATGAGCAGTGAAAGAGAACCTACTGATGATAAGGCAACTTAGCTATTCATAACCTGCAGCCTAGCATATCCGTTTTAGATTATAGTTTGGTGGTGGTAATCAGTTCACAGGAAATCATTCCAGAACGTCAATTTCCAAGACCATCTCCTCTGTGAAACAACTGTTGATGAGTTTGAGATGTGTTGCTGGTGACTGGTTCCAATTCACAGGAAAATGCACCTTTGCTTAAAATAAAGGATTTGCAGAAAAGTAAGAGTTTAATATTTGGTCTGAACTCTATGCTAGAACTTGGAATTACAAAACAGCATGCCTTCAACTGGCCTGATTGATAGCAGTTGTGAGCAAGCCACACACATTTTAAAATGATTATATATTATAGAATCCTGCCACTTTCCTTCAGAAGAAATGCATCTATAAAAAAAGAAGAAAGGGAAAAAAGCAATGCTTTACTTTTTCAAAACCCATCCTTTTCCTTAACCAACTGAAAGCAAACAAAGAAAATGGAAGTTTGGAAAACATTAACAATTTGACAGGTTCTCAAGCTTCCAAAACTCCTTTTAACTTAAGCTGCTGCTATGACTCACTCTAAAAAACTGACACGTCTTCAGGCAAAGGGAGTTTTCAAAATCATCAGTAATCGTAAACAAAAAAAAAAGTAATTTTTTCAAAGTCACAATAGGATTTAAGTAAGAACAAAGAAAGGGGGAAAAAATCCTTGTTTAGGGGCAGCTATATGGTATGGTGGATAGAGCACTGGCCCTGGATTTAGGAGGCCATGAGTTCATATGTGGCCCCAGATACTTGACACTTACTAGCTGTGTGATCCTGGGCAAGTCACTTCACCCCATTGCCTGTCCAAAAAAAAAAATCCTTCTTTAGTTATAACCCTATTTTCAAAAACAATCTTGTCCTAGGATGCATCAGTTTCCCTGGAGTAAACGAATTGTGGACATTACTATACAATAAATATAGATGTTTGATATTTTACACTCCTGTACGGAATTTTTTGCTGTTGATTTTTAAAGAATGACTCAAAGCAGCTTAGAGAAAGATCTAAAATAAATATGTATGTGTTTTAGTCAGTCAGTGAGCATTTATTAAATACGTACAAGGTGCCATAATCTATGCTAACTTAACAACAGTTGTTTTCATGCTTGGCACACATTTTTTCCTTTATTTTTCAAAGCATAGAGTACTAAGAATAGCATTAGAAACTGAAGTAAAATTAAAAATAAATTATACATACAAAAAAGAAAATTAACATGTATGATAAAAAAAATTAGACATGTTTGACTATATGAACAGTTGAGCACAACTGAGCATTTCGTGAGCCCTATGTTACTCCTAATCAAAACCATTCAATTTCACATCTGTTTAGTGCTTACAGTATACAAGTTATACAAGAGGCACTAAACTGCTAGTACCATAGTAGGTACTGGGGGACACAAAGTTCTTGCTATTAAAGAGCTCATAACCAAGCTGGGAAGGTTAATGTATAAATAGATTTGATAGAGAATAGAACACGAGAAATGCATAAAAATAAGTGTTCTGAGAAATCTGAGGAAAGGGACTATTTGAAGGCAGGGGGATTAGGAAAGACTTCAGGATGAAAGGGCTTTGGAACTGGGCTTCTGGGATGAGTAGAATTTGAGCAAAAAAGAGGCTCTATAGACAGAGAAAATAGTATAAATGAATGTCTAGAAATAGAAAAAGCAAGATGTATTTGGGAAACGGTGAATTTGGCAGGATCATAGAATAGATGAAGGATATCACCATGAGATCAGCTTATAAATACAGATTGGAATTGGATTTTAGGAAACCTTGGATGCTTGGAATTTGGACTTTATTCAGTAGGCAGTAGGGAGCCATTTGAGACTTTAGAGCAGAGGACTGGCATAAAAGCAAAACTTCTAGGAATTATGTGTGGTGTAGGATGGACAAGAAATAAGGGAATCCAGTTATAAGACTATTGAGACAGTTCACAAGAAGTAATGAGGACCTTAGCAAGGGTAGTAGCAGAGGACATGTCAAAACAGGCATGGCTTTTACTGGCAAAGGAGAGTATTTCTCAGACATGTCTAGGGAGTAATTTGACTGTAAGCCAACTTCTTCTGGCTCAACTGACCCAGAACCAGGCCATGACTTGTTCCAGGTCCCAGCAGTATACACCGACCAAACAGGGAACCTGCCTTTCCACAAGATAGGATACACCTACCTTGAATCATTGGTATTCTAATATTTAATTTCTGTACTTCCTGAATGAGGTTTTAATCACCACACAGGGGATGAACTAAATGGTGATGTACTGCAGAGGTGAAGTACTTTATAACACTGAGCCCACTAAGAGTCTTATTACCAAGTCCGTACTGTACGCATTAAAATAGCCTTCTACCCACCTACTTGGAGCTTGTCAGATAGGTAGATGGAACTTTAGGCTAGAGTCAGAAAGGCCTTAGTTTAAGCCATATGACCCTAGATAAGTCATTTAATCTCTGTCAGCCTTAATTACCTCATCTGTTAAAAAAAAATAAAATAAAAGAGGCTTGGATTTAATGGCCCCCAGGATCTCTTCTATTACTAAATCTATGATTCTCTGGGGGGAAAAAAAGATGATGCTGATAACCAGCAAATGTGGAGAAAATTGTGCTGGTTCTGACAATTTGTACCATTCTCTCCTTTGTCCTGGATTCTGAACCTGTCACTCTGGCTCCACAGCCCTTAGTTAGCAAAGCTGCATTGAAAAAATTATGGATTTACCTGCGGTGTGTAGCTGTCAAATCTCCTGGGGTTCAGCTGTGTTAAAGTTATGTACAATCATCTGCTCAAAAATCTGTTGGTTAGGGGTTAGGCCTGGTGATAGAGATGTGGGGGTCAACCTCATAGAGGTAATCATTGAAATTGTGTGCGAGCATGAGATTGCCGAGGGAGAGAGGGAAAAGGGAAGAGAAATGGGGATAAGCACTCTGTAGTGCCTATAGTTAGGAGGAAGGGTAGTCAGTAAAAAAACTGAAGGAGCAGAAGTCAAGAGAAAACCTAGAGTTCAGTGTCATGGAAACCAAAAGAAAGCAAGAGTATTAGGGCATTCCTTAATGGGGCCATTTTCTAAAGAAAGTTCAAAGATGAAGGCAGAGAAAAGGTCCCTGGATTTGTCAATTAGGGAGGCCATTTTGAGAGAGCTTTTTCAGGAAACTAATGGGGACAGAAGCTAAATTGTAAGGGTCTGAGGAGTGAGTGGATGATACAGAAGCAAAAGCAGCAATTGTAAAATACTCTATCTAAAAATCTGGCAATGAAAGGGCAGAGAAAAGCTCTTTAAAAAATTCATTTAATGACCACCAGGAACAGAAATCAAGTAAATATAGAAATTAAGGGATAAAGTTTTATGTAAATGTCTTACATTTAACAAACTGGAACCAAACAAATTAATAAAAAGTAAATAAGAGGGAAAATGCTTTTTTTTAATTGTTCTCTTCCATTTATATAAAGTTCTACCATCTCTTTTTTTTTCCTCTGAAAGTGGTTTTGATATAATTTGAAAAGTTCTAGGGAAGGAATTAG